TTTTTCTCCCTGTGATATAAAAATAACACTTAAACAGGATCCTGCCCCATGTCCTAGACAAATCAGCTATCCAGAGATGGCAGCCAAATTCTCCCTAGGGTCAGGATGCAAGATCCTTATTACATTCAGTTTTAAGAGTGAGTTAAGAAGTAGGGTTTCGAGAAATATGATGCCATGACCAGACACTAAAAGCAAACAGCCTAGGAGTATTTATTTTCCAGCCAAAGCCAGTATCTTCTGCTGATTCACCTTGCCAAAGAGGATGGGTGGGGCTGGGCTGGCAGAAGAGAAGGTGCGAGAACTCTGAGAAGCAAAGGGCAAGCGCAGGGCAGAGAGCTCCTTTCTTACAACTAGAAAATCACTATGATTTTAGGGTCAAATAGCACAGGTGTCTGCCCCAGCTAGAGCCCTCCTCCACCCGACCCTTGGTGTCACCATGGGTGACTGCTGAAGAGTCAAAGTCCTCTTCCTCCCCCACCCCACCCACTGCCTGCCAGCCTTCAGAGCCTTGTAGCTGGGTGTCTGAGGGGACTGAAAGCAGGTTACGAGGTGATAATTATAGTAACCACTTACTGAGCATATATTACATGGCAGGCCTATGCTTTATTTACATTAAACTTAGTGGTTAAGAATGTGGTGCTGGAGTCCAGAAATTCTAGTTTTGAGTATCAGCTCCATCTCATTAGCTTTGAGGTTTTGATCAAGTTACTTAACCTCTTTGTGCCTCAATTTTCTCATCTGTAAAATTGTAACAGTTAAACTATCTACCACATAGGGTTGTGAGGAATTACCTGAGATACTGCATATATGTTTTCTGCATCTGATAGATAGTAAGTGCTGCATAAATGTGAAGAATCATTATATACACTTGCAATTTCTAACCCTACCTCAATCTGCAATGTAAATGAGAGAGGGGCTCAGCTGTTGCAGCAAAGGTTCAATTTGTCAATGACTTAAACAAGACTAAAGTTTATTTCTCTTTATAACCTAACAGTCCAGAGGTAGACAGACCAGCATGGCAGTGGAGGTGGAGAAGATCTTACCTGCATTTTCCCCACTGGGTTCAAATGGCTGCTCCAGCTCCCACCATCACATTGTAATTCCAGTCAGTAGGAAGGAGAAAATCTGCCCCTCCCTTCTAAGGTGCCCTTAAAGGTTGCCCATAATGTTGCTGCTCAGATCCCGTTGGCTAAGCTTAGTCACATGGCTATAGTATCTGCAAAGGAAGCTAGGAAATATAATCTTATACTTAGTTAAATTTATGGGGATTATGAGTAGAGGAGGAAGAAGTGGGGAGTAGATACTGCTGTGCCAGAGCCCACCATCTATCTGGTTACGCCCCACAAAAAACACATTCAGCAGCCCTTGAAAGGAGGCAAGGCAGCATTCCATCTGGACACAGTACCAGCTCAGAGCCCAGGACCCCTGAGGGACCAGGTGTGGATGGGCCCTTCATGGTCTAGTGACCTGCAAACTAAATGACAGGTAATCTGCCCCTCCCTCAATTAAACTCAATTAAAATAGGATAAACTCAATTAAAATATCCACTCATAACAGGAAGGAATGGCAAAAACCTGGCAGTAACTAGATTTTAACAATTAAATCCAGTTGGGCAGGAATTGCAAAGATGCTAACCAGCAACAGAGCAAGTTCTCAGGCACTTCACCTGGCTGCCCAGGTTCTGGGCTCTGGGAGCCCCTCCCCCTTCTGTCCTCCACCATGACCTCTGGTGTTGCCTCCTGAAGTGACTCCATCCCAAATATCCTCTGTGGCCTCACTGGAGGACATGTTCATCTTTGCAGACCTTGTTCACAGCCCTCTTCCTGCTGGTGTGCATTTGGGGGGCTGGGGATAACTGGGGAATCAAACCAGGCTTTGCTGACCCGGTTTATGGTGTCTTTGCTCTCAGAGTCTTAGAAGACTTCTGACTGGTCCCATATTTGAGAACCAAATCAGTGGTCTCACATAGACATAATTTTTATGCTTGAATACTCTGGACTTGGTATACTTCCTATTTTCTCTCAAACTGATGTTGACTATTTTGAGGCCATCTGAAAAAGTATGTTTGGCTGTGAACTCCTTTGTGCAGCCCACTGGGCTGGCTCCCACTGTTGGTCAACTTGAGAAAAGTTTGGGATCACAGGTCCAACCCTTGCTAAGGGAGCCCCTTCCAAACCACCTCTCACAACTAGCCTGAGCACATCTCTCTGGCAGGACTTTGCTGGTCAGCTCAAGCAACAGCCAATGTGCACCACCAGTTTACTGAGTATTTCTGTCTAGTTTCCATGAGGTACAGGCTTTGTTAGCATATGATTTACCTTTCAGGGCGTCATAAATAACAGGCATGCTATATGTTTTGATGTAACATAAGAACAGTCACCAGTTTACCTGGCATACAATATTTTTCCTTGCTGTCTGCTGTCCAGTCTCTAAACCAATGTCACTTGTTTTAGGCTTTTAAGTCAGTGTCACTTCCAGGTACCAAATTCTGCATTAGTTAAGATACATGTTTGGTTGTTGTAACCAAGACCCAATTTAAGAGTGATTTATGTAAGAAAGTTTATTTCTCTCTGTGGAGAAAGTGAAGGTTCCTATGGCCAGGATTCTCACCTGGCCCTGGTTGGCTAGCTCACTACACATGTGTGGGCAATGTGTTGTTATTGACTCTATAGAAAGAGCTCTTCTCAGTGCTCTGGGCTGCACGGCTTCAGGGCTGCAGGAGAGCAGAGGCTAGAGTGGTGGCAGAGCCAAAGACAGAGACTGAGACGGCTCTGGGGGCAGAGAGGCCCAGAGGCAGAGACTGGCTTGCTGCATGCAGACTTACTCTAAGTGGATGGGATTCTAGTGACTGACTAGCCATTGCGGGAATAAAGTTGGGTATAACCCTTTCACCCCAAGAATGTTCCATTGTCATTTTTCAGTCTCACTGAATCCATAGGAAACTTGCCCAGGGCTGAAACTCATTGGCAAGACACTTTCTCATATAATAGTCTGTAGACAGTCTAAAGCTGGTAGGGTAGATCTGAAACTCTTCACTAGCATCTTCCATCTTAGGTATAATATAGCTGCTCTGGATCCTGCCATCACATTAGCATTCCAGCTGACAAAAGGGAAAAAGGAAGGGGAAACTCACGCCTCTTCCTTTAAAGGCCTGACCTGGAAGTTATTCACATCAGTTCCACTCACATCATATTGGTCAAATTTAGTTGCAAGGCAAAGTCATATTATTTAGCTGCAAGGAAGGTTGCAAGTCTAAGTCTTTATTATAGGCAGCCATTCCAGCTAAAATTCAAGTGGTTCTAGTACTAAAGGAAGAAGAGAAAAATAAATACTGGGAGGCAACTGGCAGTCTGCCACAGAATGTTTTTATCCTCATTTTACACTTGTGCAAACAGACTCAGAGAAAACAAGGTTTTTCAAGGTCATAATAGCAAACAAATGGCAGAGCATGAATTTTAAATAAGTCCATCTGACCCCAAAACAGGCTTTCCATTACATCCAGCCAACATATTTTGGTCAACAAGGTGACTGGGGAGAAAAGATATTCCCAGATGAATAGTTACATAAAGCCAGCCCAGTGTACACTGAGATGTGCACTATAAGGAGATCACAGTGCAAGTGATGCAATTGGGGAACATGTTCCTAAACAGGAGCCCTTCCCAGTGGCCCCATAGGGTGCAACATGTCTGAGGTGGAGTGAAGGATGAAGTATTGCAAGAGAAGGCAATGTTGTGTTCTGAGCTTATTCTTTATCTGGCTTGTCTGTGAAAGTGGCCTGGAGCATAAAGGGGAGGGAGGTCTGATGCATTGCATATCTCCAGGGATGGTCCATTTGACCTTTTTACCATTTGAGGTGCCCCAATGGCTGTGCCTTATAGATTTCATCATCTGGGCCCAGACAGCAGCAGGCCAAAGAGCCCTGTGGCAGGAGAGCTGCACTCACCCTGGTACTAGCCAAGACACACATGGAAAAGCCAGGTGCCTTCCCTGGGCTGTTCTCCACTCTCCCAACAGACAGTACAGCAGCTTTGAGGGATTATGGACAAAATGTTCAATGTATTCTGCAAAAAATCCAACAATCCACTATTAAGCGTCCACTCCAGGGCCAGAGGCTAGGATGGAAGAGGCTGGAAGGAAGAGAGGAAGGGAGGGGCAGAGAGAGGGGAGCTGAAGCTGCTGGGTCAGCATTCCTGATCTGGACATTGACTCAGGCCTCAGGAATGCCAGGGAAGGAGGGTGGGCAGCCACCAGAGCCAGGCCGGGATCCTGTTGGCACCGGGAGATGTAGGGACAGCACAGGGAGAGGGATGGTGGGACTGCAGCTTCTGCACATCCAGACCTACCCCTGGACTATAGGTAGAAACAGGTGTCACCCTGTGCATAAGCCCAGGCCCTGCACCTGTAAGCACACTACACACCTTCAAGGTGATTCTCTCAGCAGCCCACCTGCCCAAACCATCCCATTCCAGAGGCAGGAATAGACTCCTGGGACTCAGGTGGGGACATCTGGATACACATTTGCCTCTCTGCCAGGACCATTCACAGACCACTTCTCCCCAGCCTTTCAGCTGTCTGCAACTTCCTCTAATTTCAGCACTACCCACGACTGAAGTTTGTACAAGGAAGAAAGCCAAGTTCAACCTTCCTCCATTTCCCTCCTTTGGCCTCTGACAGAGGTGAGAGGGTTGCTCAGAGTAGTAACCCAGTGTTCTGAGGACCCACCTTCTCCCACCCTGTTGCTTCCACAACTCTCCAAGCCACCTCCTGTGAGCAGGGTCCTCCTAGTTTGTCCTTGGGAGAGCCAGGAGGCAGCCCAGGACCAGACATCAAGCTCCCCTGCGCCACTTCCCTCCCCACCCCGCCCCCAGGCTGCTGGGCTGGAGCAGCTGAACTGGTGGGCCCCCCTCTCCTCTCGGCTGCCTGACACCCAATCAGAGAGAAAACGATCCGGGGCAGGCAGGGTGCCAGGGGCCGGGCCCAGAATAGCGCGTCCCAGCCAGTGTTGCGCACTTGCGCTCAGTCGGTCCAGGCCGGCTGCATGGAGCCTGAGCTGGAGCACACGCTGCACAGGGTACTGGGGTCCTGGGACAGCGAGCCGGGGCAGCTGAGGCCAGAGGATTGAGAGCACACCACCACGTCGTGTGAATGCATGTGTGCGTGTGCGTGTGGGGGGTGGGGTGGGGCATAGATTTTCTCTGTGCATATAAGCACACGGCTGTGCGTGTATATTCTCTGAGTATGTGGTTCTGTGTGTTCTGGGAATGGTTGAGTGCGTGTGCTTCTGAGTGTGTATTAGTGTTTGTGTATCAGTGTATGCTTATGTGTGTATATATGTAGGTGTGTGCTTGTGGGGTGAATGTGTTTTTGTGGTGTGTGTGTGTGTGTATATGCACTAAGACAAGGGGAACAACCTGTGGCTTGGGAGCCTAGGGCATTTTCCCCACCGCTCAGACATTCTTCTCCCCACAGACCCCATCCTGGAGCAGCCTTGGGGGACTGGAGCATCAAGGTAGGTGGGGCTGCCCCTCCTCGGGGGCCTAGCCTCTCCTCCCAAATGCTATGTCTCCACATCTCTGGGCCCCCATCTCCCCACTCCACTAGCCTGGCTTTGTCTTCCTCTCCTTTTCCTTCCTTGTTCTCTTTGTTCCTTCTTCCTCCTTGTCTTCCCCTCCTCCTTCCTCTTTCGGAGGCAGAGGGGCAGGGTTGTAGAGTCTGAGACCTGGAGCCTAGTCCTGACCTCATCGCCTACTAGCTGTGTGTGATTTGTGGCAAATTGCTTAACTTCTCTGATCTCAGCTCCCTTGTTAGTAAAATAAGGATAGAAATAATGCCTCCCTTATAAGATTTCTATGAGATTTGAATGAGAATATGTTGGAGAAAAGCTCTTTGGAATCTTGCAAATATTAAATACTATAATTAATAACATTTTTTAATTGATTTTATTGTGTTACTCCCTATTAACCAAACAGGCCCCATTCCCCCTTCCAGAGGTGAGCTTCCTAGAGCAAGGAGATAGCACTTCCTGGCCATCACCAGCCATGCCCACCAGCCCAGAAAGGAGCCATGGGAAAGAGAGGGCCAAGGCCCCAAGATGGACAAGGCAGGAGGCTATGGAGGAAAGGGAGCTTCAAGGCCTGGGGGAAGGTGAGGTGAGGGCCAGTTCTGGGGAGATGGGAGCAGGAGCAGAGGGAAGCCCCAGAACCTCTGTCACGCAGAGTTGGACCCACCCCTCACCTGTAGCCTCAGTCTCCCCACATGGGAGAGGGCACCTGCATCACAGAGCCAAGGGCAAGCCTGGCCAGTTCAGGATAGAGCCACTGTCTTGTGTGGCTCTCTGAGACTCAGCATTTTCACCTGCCAAGTGGGGGCCACAGCATCCAGGTTTCCCAACGCTGCTGTGAGGATGCCCTGAGCCAGCAGATGAGGAGTTACCATCTTCTCCCCCCGAACAAGTCCCCAGACCAGACCAGCTGCTGAGTCCACCGGGCTGGAAGCCATGTTCCCTGAGGCCATACCCTTGTCCCATGATGCTCCCTTAGCCAGGGTGGGCATCCCACCAACAGAGTGGGATATCCTCCCCTGCCTGTGCAGCCTCAGCCACCGGCCCCAGCACAGACGATCTGGAGCTGGGCCTAGAGCTCCCAGGCACAGGAGCCTGGGGGTGTGAGCTCGGCCTTGTGGAAGAGAAGCCTGCCCCGTGCCCGTGCCCATCCCCGCAGGCCCTGTTTCCCAGGCTGGGCTGGGACGACGAGCTGCAGAAGCCAGGGGCCCAGGTCTACATGCACTTCATGCAGGAGCACACCTGCTATGATGCCATGGCGACCAGCTCCAAGCTGGTCATCTTCGACACCACGCTGGAGGTGAGGCCACAGCTCTGCCCCACCTCCAACCTCACGGTGCAGCAGCCACCATGCACACCCTCCAGGATGCCCTGCCGGGTCATGCCCCCCCCATGAGGCCCCTTCCAGAACTCCTTCTTAGCACCATGGAGGCCAGTGGGAGGAGGGTTCCTACTCTCTGGGAGTACCCCCGAAGTGTCATCTGAGCTCTGCCACTTAGTATCTTAGGATCTTGGGTTGGTCACCTTACCTCTCCCACCGCTAAAATGGTGCCAGGAATGCCTGCTTTGCCTTACTAAGGACTCCTGGGATAACCCAGGATAAGTGGAAGAACTTTGCAAACCCTGAAATAAGTGGAAGACATTGCAAAGTGGTTTAGGACAAAGAGCAGGGGACTCTTGGAAACAGCAAAATAGGACAAGCTCTGGTCCTCGTGCTTCTAGTAGCTAAGCTACACAGTGCCTGATTCCACTGCTAACACCACGTAGAGTTGAGCAGCATTTCCCAGCCATGGTAACGTAACAGCCACAATACACTACAGGCACACCTCCTTTAATTGCACTTTTCTCTGCCATGCTTTGCAGATATGCTTTCTTACAAACTGAAGGTTTGGAGCAACCCTGAAACCAGCAAGCCTACTGGTGCCATTTCTCCAACAGCATCTGCTCACTTCATATCTCTATGTTACATTTTAGTAATTCTCACAATATTTCAAACTTTTTCATTATTATTTTATTTGTTATGGTGATAACTGTGATCAGTGATTATGACTTGCTGATTATGACTCAGATGATGCTTAATATTTTTTAGCAGTTATTTTTAAATTAAGCTATGTATTGTGTTTAGACATAATGCTATTGCATACTTAATAGACTACAGTAGAGCATAAATCACCTTTCTATGCACTGGGAAACCAAACAACCCTTGCCTCGCTTTATTGCAATATTCCCTTTGCTGCAGTGGTCTGGAACCAAACGCACGCTATCTCCGAGCTATGCCTCTATTTGATTCTAGTGGTATGAACCAATATGTTTATTTTAGTAGCTTTGTATTTATTTTGCTATGTATTAGAAAAATACAACCAGCATGTATAGCTAGTATTGCTTAGGATGAGGCCAAAATGAGTCACTGTAAAATTTATTTAGAGAAAAATATTTTGTAAATAATTATACCTCTAGTACTTAACAGCCAAAACTATACTGTCTACACACATACGACTTCTGAATGGAAGCACTGAGTTCATTTCCCACACCCTGCTGCGCCTGGCGAGGGGGTCACCTCAGTGCCTCACCATCAGCTTTATGCACCCAACAAAGACTATGTCCAGTGTGTGCCATGACATGAGGAAGGCAGGCAAGCTTACATAAAGAACCCAGGAGAAGGCCCTTGGAAGAATCCTGGTGGGGATAGGGAACCACTGAGGGGCAGTGGGAGACTGATTCACCCATCAACTGTCTCCTGGCCCTCAGATCAAGAAGGCCTTCTTCGCCCTGGTGGCCAATGGCATCCGGGCAGCACCTCTGTGGGACAGCAAGAAGCAGAGCTTTGTGGGTAAGGAGGAGCGGGGGAGGCAGAAGTGGTGGGGAAGGGAAGGAGGGACCTGGCAGGTGATTCTGATATGCCACAGGCTTGAGCGGATGTTGGAGGGGCCAAGCTGCGGGCTGGCATGGGGGAGTGTCTGGGCCCAGTCTAGGGGCCCCATCTGTGGAATAGCTGTGACCAGCTGAGCCCTCCAGCTCTACCACCCCATGGTCCCACGTCACAGGTGCTAAGCAGAAAAAGACAAAAGGGAAAGGAAGAAATTAGGAGACTCAGAAAGGCAGGGGAGGGAGGGAGAAATTACAGGGGAGGCGTGAAAGGGAGAACCCCATTCCCCTGGCATGGCAAGGGCTGCTCTCCTCTCTGTCACAGTTCCCACTGTTGTCCCAGTACTAGGACTCTGGCAGGGTGGGGGAGGAGGGCCTGCTCCCCAACCTGCCCCCCACCACAAGGCCCAGGCTGACCTCCTATACCTCTACCCCCCCACCCATGCAGGGATGCTGACTATCACAGACTTCATCTTGGTGCTGCATCGCTATTACAGGTCCCCCCTGGTAAGGAGTGGGCTGGGAGTCTGGGGGCACCCACCTGGACTGGGGCAGAGGGAGTTCAGGCAGCCTGATGACCAGTGGGCCCACATCTGACTTCTGGAGTCCTGTCGATGTCTCTAGGTCCAGATCTATGAGATTGAAGAACATAAGATTGAGACCTGGAGGGGTGAGTGGTCAAGGGTCCTGGGAAGGGGCTGAGGGTGTGTGGGTGAGTGGGGGGCCAAGGACCTGAGGCAGAGGATAGGCAGTGGAGATTTCCTGGAAGAAGCAGGGGAAGGGAAAAAGAAAGGGTGATGGGGAGTCCAGGGGCCTGGTCAGGGCACAGTCTGGGCACTGCCGGGTGAGGTAGGATGCCCAAAGCCCCCGGCCTGACTCGGATCTTCCTGCAGAGATCTACCTTCAAGGCTGCTTCAAGCCCCTGGTCTCCATCTCCCCCAACAACAGGTAGCAGCCCCAGCCACCCACCTGAGTCTCCTTGCCCTGAGCAGTACCCCCTTCCCCAGCTCCCCGGTTCTGAACTCAACAGTTCACCCTCCGTGGCAGCCAAGGCCACCTCTTCCCCTTTCTGGGGGCTGGGATGCAGCATCTCTCCAAGGCTGCCCCGGGCTCACGGCTCCCACCTTCACAGCCTGTTCGAAGCCGTCTACAGCCTCATCAAGAACCGGATCCACCGCCTGCCAGTCCTGGACCCGGTCTCAGGAGCTGTGCTTCACATCCTGACCCACAAGCGGCTGCTCAAGTTCCTACACATCTTTGTGAGCCCTGGCACAGCCCAGGAGGCGACCTGAGGGGCTGAGCAGACTTCAGCCCTAAGGGCTGGGGAGGGAGCAGCTGGGAGCCTCTGGGACTAGTCCACCCTGATCCCCACCTGTCCCTAACCCAACCAGGGTGCCCTGCTGCCCCAGCCCTCCTTCCTCTCCCGCACCATCCAAGATTTGGGCATCGGCACATTCCGAGACTTGGCCGTGGTGCTGGACACGGCACCCATCCTGACCGCACTGGACATCTTTGTGGACCGGCGCGTGTCTGCACTGCCTGTGGTCAACGAAGCCGGTACCTAAACCCAGGACGGGGGCTCTGGCTGGGGAGGGGTTGAGTGGCAGGGGTCCACCCAGCATCAGCTCAGGGAACACGGTGGAGCTGGGGCTAGAAGCATCTGCCTTCTCTGAGCCTTGGACCAATTACTAATCCTCTCTCTGCCTCCATTTCCTCGTTTGTGAATTGGGAATCTTAACACACATCCTCTGGCTTCACAGAATGACTTAAAAGGATTATGTGCAATAAAATGAGCATGGTGAGAGGAAAGAGCAGGTGAGGTTTTTAATTTTTCTTCATTCTTACATAAGCCACAGGACCCAGCCAGACCGCAATTCTTGCTCTGAGAAAGGGTTCAAGGTACTACAAGATTATTTCTTTAGTTGAACGATGTTTGTAAACTATTTCAAAATTAAAATCTCCCTAATGAGGCTAGATATCAAGAAATGTTTTGTGTTTGATTATGAAATATTTCAAATGTATGAAAAAAAAAACTGTAATGAAACCCATGTATCCACTGCCTAGATTAATGACTGTTAACATATTGTCATGATTAGCTCTTTTTTTGTGTTTTTTTTTTCTGAAGCAATTTATAGACATCATGTCATTTCACCCCTTAACACTTCAATCTACATATCTTAAATACATATATTTTGTGTGTCACCTAAAAATACGTAAGTAATTTATTAATATTATCAAATATCCTATCCTAATTCTTATTTCCCCATTTTCTTCAAGAATATCTTTTTTTTACAGTTGGTTTATTTAAACCAGGATCCAGTTAAGGTCCATATGATGCATTTGTGTCTTTTGTCCCTTAAGTCTCTTTCATTGAGAGCAGTTCTCTCCCCACTTAATTTTCATGACATTCATGATGAAAAACCTGGGTCAGTCATCCTATAGAATGTCCCGTATTTGTCTGTTAGCTTTCTACAGGTGGCCTTGACATTGTCCCCCTAGTCCTGTGTTTCTTGTAAACTGAAAGTTAAACCTAAAGGCTTGATCAGATTCGGGTTGTACATTTGAGGCTAAAACAGTTCAGAGGTGACGCCATGTACTCATACTGAGTCACATTAGGAGGCAAGATGTCAGGTGGTCTCCCTCTGTCTGTGATGCTGTTTGGTCTGTGCGTTCAGGTAGTGGCAGCCTGCTGACTCATTATGAAGCCAGTAGCCTGGGGAGGGGCAGGCGGGTGTCAAGGAGTTCATTCCAAAAGCCTGCCTCAGGCTGTTGAACAGCATCTTGGCTCTGAACTGAACCTCTTCCCTGTCTTTCTCCCACCCCCACCCCCACCCTCACCCTGCAGGACAGGTCGTGGGCCTCTACTCCCGCTTTGATGTGATTGTAAGTGTCTGTGGGGATTGGAAGCGTATGTAAGTGTCTGGGGGTGCCACAGGGATACTGGGTTTGAGGATCGATGGGACTTGTATCTCTGGATCAGAGGGGACATTGCAAGTGTACAGAGGGGCATACGTGTGGGCCTGGAGCTTGGCTGAGGTGGTGACTAAGAGTGGTACTTCCCTCCCTGCCCCAGCACCTGGCTGCCCAACAAACCTACAACCACCTAGACGTAAGTGTGGGAGAAGCACTGAAGCAGAGGACATTGTGTCTGGAAGGGGTCCTTTCCTGCCAGCCCCATGAGAGCTTGGGGGAAGTCATCGACCGGATTGCCCGGGAGCAGGTACCCAGTGTCCTTTAAGGCATGCTCCCAACATGCATGGCCCAGTCTTTCTCGTAAGCACCTCCACCTCTCCCTCTACATCAGGCACTTGCCCTGTCCTCCCACTTCCAAGCTCTTGGTATCTGCACTGGTCTGCAACTGGTCCTGTTGATGGGGCCCTGGTGCCAAGGGCCAAAGCCAGCTGACCACGATAGAATGGCCCGAGCCACTCCTAAGTGGTTTCTAGAAGACTCTCTTGCTGCCCCATTATGTCAAATTGTTTCCTCTGATTCTTGGTGCCAACCTTGTTGGCTGCCATGGCTTCATGACTGTGCCCCCTCACTGACCCTCTGTGGACCCACAGGTACACCGGCTGGTGCTAGTGGATGACAGCCAGCATCTCCTGGGTGTGGTATCCCTCTCTGACATCCTGCAGGCTCTGGTGCTCAGTCCTGCTGGCATCGATGCCCTCAGCGCCTGAGAATATCTGAGTCCTCACTCCCAGACCACCTTCCACCTGTGGAAGTCAATGAAGGGAGCCGGGGAACTCAGTCTTCATCTTCTCCCACCCCCATTGGCTGGTTTGGCTCTAGTTCAGGTAGGCTCTGCCCTGGGCCATTGGCCTCAGCACCAGCCCCCGGGGCTTTCTGGGCTCCCAGATCTCAGATTGGGGCTTCCTGAGGATGAGAGTGGCTCAGCTCACAGCTGAGCAGCCCCATGAACACTGCAAGCGTCAGGACTCACTGTGGGGCTCCCACTTTGAGTCCCCATTCTCAGCTGAGGTCATGGGGGCCCTCATGAGAGGGTGGACATGGGCTGAGGTCAAGGTAAGGGCAGTGATGTGACTTCAGGTGCTCTGGAGAGGTTGACCCGCCCTCTCGCAATTCCATTCCCACCTGCTTGGAATTCTACTAGGGGGAAGCAAGCAAGGTAAGAAACCTTTGTTGAATGGAATTCCCCTCTCAGAACTAAGAGAGCTCCTATCTAAGTACTTATCTCAATAAATTTGACAGGATCTCAGACTCTTTCCTGGTAGCACATTTTCAAGGGGCTTGCAGAAGGGGGGGCACACAGATTCCACCCACTTGGCAGTGGGTGGCAAGACTGAGCCTCCCCTATTTGAAAGGCAACCTCCCTCCTGGCTTAGGCACTGTCTCCCCTTCTCACTTCCTCACAGGCTTCTCCAGCCCTCACTAATTGTCCTTGCCTTGTCTGTGCTCCCGGAAGCCCTCGGGAATGCCCAGGGTATCATGGGATGGTGAAATTAAGGGGAACAGCTGCATCAAGCCTGGAGATCTCCGAACCAGAGGCACTGGGATTACCCTGGCACCTGGGTCGTGACAGGCCCCACTGGGGCAATGAGCCTGTGGGTTCCGTCAGGGGCTCTGGATTCCTTGGCTTCTGGACCACCTACTGTTCAGGGCCCCAGCTCCTGGGAGTCCCAGCTGGTCTTGCCCCACGGGAACTGTCTTAGTGGTTTCCCACAACTCTGCTCCCGCCCTCCTGCTTGCCCAGGATTGTCGTTCCTGGGCTGCTGGGGGTCATCGTGGAGCAGCAGTTATTTGCAGAGCTGCTTGTTGGAATGAGGTCCTCCCTCCATTTTTGTCCTTAGCTCTCACCAGTGAACAGCGTTCTCAGTCCCCAACGATGGCTCTGTATTTGGATCACTGAAGATGAATGATTGAGAAAAGAAAAAGAAAAAGAATAACCCATGAACTTACATTTTATAAGTTTCACTCAGAAAAATGCTAGTCATTTGACCTGAACTGTGGCCAAGACCCCCGTGCTTTCTGAATTCAAAGACAAGAAAGCAGACCTGTAATTGACGAACGTTGCAAGGGACCTTTCTTTTGCATGCAGAGAGTTAATCCACCGAAATTTCTTTTTCATCTTTTATTTGTAACAAAATCATAAAGAAAATATTAATTAGGTATTTACACAGTAGGTACAACTCAGTCCACAAACTCTAATCTGCAAGAAACATAACTTTATTTTTCTAACATTGAGCATAGTTTCTGTTAGGAACCCCACTTCACCAGGTGGTAGAAACTAGTCTCAGTCAATCAAGCTTTAAATAGTATAACTTTGTTCCTTAGTCATCCTCACCCATCCATGCCAACACCTGTTAAAACATCGCATTCCCATCTGTTCGTCATTTGGTGGGTCATTAGTGGGCACGGCACCTGCTCCGTGCTTCCTCACTACCTACCATGAGCCTCTTTGAGCCTGCTTGCTCCCAGGCACGAGGATATCCTAGCTCCTGGCCCTGTACCCACTCTGGGCTTTAGGAAGCCAAGTCCCAAGTCCGCCTGCTGACAGGGACAGCAAGTGGTCTGTTCTACTCTGCATTTTGCTGTTTTCCCAGCCTCTACCCAAACAACAGGGCACCCAGGCTCTTCTAACCTTATCACCTCCAAACTTCTGTGGAGGATTTGTCATTCTCCCCGCTCCCTTCAGCCATAGCCCCCATCTCAGGGACCCCAGAAATGTCTCCCCTACCCCCACCAGCCTGTGGGATCTCTACCCAGTGGTGAAAAAGAGGGCCTTTTCCTCTAACCCATCAGCCACTGTATGTGTCCTGAGCTCTTGCCACCGACCTTGAGGGTCAGGCCTTTGAAATTTCAAAGTGAATACTGGGCTTCTGTTGTGTCGCCCGTCCCCTGTGGCAATGGACACTACAAGTCTGCTGACCAGTGGGCAGAGAGTAGGTTAGTATTTCTAAAATATTATCCCACCCCATTTACCTGACACAGCAACAGAGGGGACACATCTGTGTTCAGACAGCAAATGAAGGCATTTTCTCACAGACACTCAGCGTCTTTCCGATTTTGCCATAACCCATGGGCCAGTGCTGGCTCTCTGCTGTTCCTACCTGGCAAGGTCCCAAGTCTTGAGCTCAAGTGGAGGATGGAGTGGGGGTACTCTCTGGGCACGTCTCCAGTGACAGTATCCTTGGGGGGCCCGGGGCAGGCTGCCCCCAGCTGTGAGTGGCTCCAGGGAACATGCAGCGGGATCCGTTTTCTGAGGCAGAGCCTGGGTTATACTGCATTTGCAGAACTTCAGAGGTCATAACTCGGTCTTTAGGAGGAAAGGGCAGACTTGGTGAGGCACCTTTGAGAGTTAATCGGTCTCTACCCTCCTGCGGCTGCTATTCTTAGGACCCAGCAGTTTCCCCCCTTAGGCCCTTCTGTAAGGAACCATGTCACCTCCCTGCCTCAGACCTCCACCTCTGATCACAGCTCCACACCCAGCTCCTGACCAGCCCTCTCACATCATGGCTGCTACAAGAAAGGCAAAGGTTTCCATGGGAACTGCAGCTCTTGTGCCTGGCTTGGAATAAAAGTGAGACCTCTATCGCCTCTGTTCATACATGAACCTGGGGCCGCCCGAGTTTTCCAGGAGCCATTGCCTTCCTGTCCCAAACTCTTCCCCTAACCTCAGAGGCCCCTGTGAGATTCTGTAGCCTGCCAGCCAGACTCCCATAGACTCCCCTCTTTACCCTGTCTCCCCGCTCACACCGTCTCACTGGTTCTCAACCTTGGATGTGTGACAGGATCACCTGGGAAGCTTTATAAAATGCATATTCCAGGGTCCCATTCCTAGAGATACTAATCCTGATGGGGGGGTGGGACTTAGGCCACTGTTCATTCGCTGTAGAAACTAGAGGCTTATGATTAATAACATGTAATGAGCATGATGGTGTGCTGCTGAGAAATAAAGATGCTTCATTTTCATAATTAGTAAAATCATTTTATTGAGTCTATCTTATTTATTATGATAATTTACAAGAAGTGCTGGCTGAGTAGTGGCATCATAAAGAAGATAAACTATTTGTTAGCATCCTCACTGCCCTTCTTCTAAACATCCTTACATGCAGAATTCAGTAGTCTCATGTATGCCCATTCCATCATGACAAGTGTCTTCATGTGGTTACCATGCATATTAAAACTGGAATCATAAATAATAACCTGGAAACAAACTCATATTACCAAGACAAAATACACTCAGAGCTAAAACTTCTATAGAACATGAGCATGTCAGAAAGCATTGGACACTCTTATTTTATTCCTGGTAGTGCTGCATAGTTGTTCAAAAAGATGAGGTATTTTCTTCAAGTCTTACTCAAAAATATGGATCCTGATTTGGCCAATGAATTCAAATTAGGTGCAATAGGTAGTGAGATGTGCACATTCTTTTCAGTTAAATGTTTTAATATCTACTGTCTTGCCAGTGGGTTTCAGCCCCAGGCAAGTTCACTATGGATTCAATGTGACCAAAGAAATGACAGCAGAACGTTCTTGGGGTGAAAGGGTTATACCCAACTTTTATCATGTCATTTCACCCCTTAACACTTCAATCTACATATCTTAAATACATATATTTTGTGTGTCACCTAAAAATACGTAAGTAATTTATTAATATTATCAAATATCCTATCCTAATTCTTATTTCCCCATTTTCTTCAAGAATATCTTTTTTTTACAGTTGGTTTATTTAAACCAGGATCCAGTTAAGGTCCATATGATGCATTTGTGTCTTTTGTCCCTTAAGTCTCTTTCATTGAGAGCAGTTCTCTCCCCACTTAATTTTCATGACATTCATGATGAAAAACCTGGGTCAGTCATCCTATAGAATGTCCCGTATTTGTCTGTTAGCTTTCTACAGGTGGCCTTGACATTGTCCCCCTAGTCCTGTGTTTCTTGTAAACTGAAAGTTAAACCTAAAGGCTTGATCAGATTCGGGTTGTACATTTGAGGCTAAAACAGTTCAGAGGTGACGCCATGTACTCATACTGAGTCACATTAGGAGGCAAGATGTCAGGTGGTCTCCCTCTGTCTGTGATGCTGTTTGGTCTGTGCGTTCAGGTAGTGGCAGCCTGCTGACTCATTATGAAGCCAGTAGCCTGGGGAGGGGCAGGCGGGTGTCAAGGAGTTCATTCCAAAAGCCTGCCTCAGGCTGTTGAACAGCATCTTGGCTCTGAACTGAACCTCTTCCCTGTCTTTCTCCCACCCCCACCCCCACCCTCACCCTGCAGGACAGGTCGTGGGCCTCTACTCCCGCTTTGATGTGATTGTAAGTGTCTGTGGGGATTGGAAGCGTATGTAAGTGTCTGGGGGTGCCACAGGGATACTGGGTTTGAGGATCGATGGGACTTGTATCTCTGGATCAGAGGGGACATTGCAAGTGTACAGAGGGGCATACGTGTGGGCCTGGAGCTTGGCTGAGGTGGTGACTAAGAGTGGTACTTCCCTCCCTGCCCCAGCACCTGGCTGCCCAACAAACCTACAACCACCTAGACGTAAGTGTGGGAGAAGCACTGAAGCAGAGGACATTGTGTCTGGAAGGGGTCCTTTCCTGCCAGCCCCATGAGAGCTTGGGGGAAGTCATCGACCGGATTGCCCGGGAGCAGGTACCCAGTGTCCTTTAAGGCATGCTCCCAACATGCATGGCCCAGTCTTTCTCGTAAGCACCTCCACCTCTCCCTCTACATCAGGCACTTGCCCTGTCCTCCCACTTCCAAGCTCTTGGTATCTGCACTGGTCTGCAACTGGTCCTGTTGATGGGGCCCTGGTGCCAAGGGCCAAAGCCAGCTGACCACGATAGAATGGCCCGAGCCACTCCTAAGTGGTTTCTAGAAGACTCTCTTGCTGCCCCATTATGTCAAATTGTTTCCTCTGATTCTTGGTGCCAACCTTGTTGGCTGCCATGGCTTCATGACTGTGCCCCCTCACTGACCCTCTGTGGACCCACAGGTACACCGGCTGGTGCTAGTGGATGACAGCCAGCATCTCCTGGGTGTGGTATCCCTCTCTGACATCCTGCAGGCTCTGGTGCTCAGTCCTGCTGGCATCGATGCCCTCAGCGCCTGAGAATATCTGAGTCCTCACTCCCAGACCACCTTCCACCTGTGGAAGTCAATGAAGGGAGCCGGGGAACTCAGTCTTCATCTTCTCCCACCCCCATTGGCTGGTTTGGCTCTAGTTCAGGTAGGCTCTGCCCTGGGCCATTGGCCTCAGCACCAGCCCCCGGGGCTTTCTGGGCTCCCAGATCTCAGATTGGGGCTTCCTGAGGATGAGAGTGGCTCAGCTCACAGCTGAGCAGCCCCATGAACACTGCAAGCGTCAGGACTCACTGTGGGGCTCCCACTTTGAGTCCCCATTCTCAGCTGAGGTCATGGGGGCCCTCATGAGAGGGTGGACATGGGCTGAGGTCAAGGTAAGGGCAGTGATGTGACTTCAGGTGCTCTGGAGAGGTTGACCCGCCCTCTCGCAATTCCATTCCCACCTGCTTGGAATTCTACTAGGGGGAAGCAAGCAAGGTAAGAAACCTTTGTTGAATGGAATTCCCCTCTCAGAACTAAGAGAGCTCCTATCTAAGTACTTATCTCAATAAATTTGACAGGATCTCAGACTCTTTCCTGGTAGCACATTTTCAAGGGGCTTGCAGAAGGGGGGGCACACAGATTCCACCCACTTGGCAGTGGGTGGCAAGACTGAGCCTCCCCTATTTGAAAGGCAACCTCCCTCCTGGCTTAGGCACTGTCTCCCCTTCTCACTTCCTCACAGGCTTCTCCAGCCCTCACTAATTGTCCTTGCCTTGTCTGTGCTCCCGGAAGCCCTCGGGAATGCCCAGGGTATCATGGGATGGTGAAATTAAGGGGAACAGCTGCATCAAGCCTGGAGATCTCCGAACCAGAGGCACTGGGATTACCCTGGCACCTGGGTCGTGACAGGCCCCACTGGGGCAATGAGCCTGTGGGTTCCGTCAGGGGCTCTGGATTCCTTGGCTTCTGGACCACCTACTGTTCAGGGCCCCAGCTCCTGGGAGTCCCAGCTGGTCTTGCCCCACGGGAACTGTCTTAGTGGTTTCCCACAACTCTGCTCCCGCCCTCCTGCTTGCCCAGGATTGTCGTTCCTGGGCTGCTGGGGGTCATCGTGGAGCAGCAGTTATTTGCAGAGCTGCTTGTTGGAATGAGGTCCTCCCTCCATTTTTGTCCTTAGCTCTCACCAGTGAACAGCGTTCTCAGTCCCCAACGATGGCTCTGTATTTGGATCACTGAAGATGAATGATTGAGAAAAGAAAAAGAAAAAGAATAACCCATGAACTTACATTTTATAAGTTTCACTCAGAAAAATGCTAGTCATTTGACCTGAACTGTGGCCAAGACCCCCGTGCTTTCTGAATTCAAAGACAAGAAAGCAGACCTGTAATTGACGAACGTTGCAAGGGACCTTTCTTTTGCATGCAGAGAGTTAATCCACCGAAATTTCTTTTTCATCTTTTATTTGTAACAAAATCATAAAGAAAATATTAATTAGGTATTTACACAGTAGGTACAACTCAGTCCACAAACTCTAATCTGCAAGAAACATAACTTTATTTTTCTAACATTGAGCATAGTTTCTGTTAGGAACCCCACTTCACCAGGTGGTAGAAACTAGTCTCAGTCAATCAAGCTTTAAATAGTATAACTTTGTTCCTTAGTCATCCTCACCCATCCATGCCAACACCTGTTAAAACATCGCATTCCCATCTGTTCGTCATTTGGTGGGTCATTAGTGGGCACGGCACCTGCTCCGTGCTTCCTCACTACCTACCATGAGCCTCTTTGAGCCTGCTTGCTCCCAGGCACGAGGATATCCTAGCTCCTGGCCCTGTACCCACTCTGGGCTTTAGGAAGCCAAGTCCCAAGTCCGCCTGCTGACAGGGACAGCAAGTGGTCTGTTCTACTCTGCATTTTGCTGTTTTCCCAGCCTCTACCCAAACAACAGGGCACCCAGGCTCTTCTAACCTTATCACCTCCAAACTTCTGTGGAGGATTTGTCATTCTCCCCGCTCCCTTCAGCCATAGCCCCCATCTCAGGGACCCCAGAAATGTCTCCCCTACCCCCACCAGCCTGTGGGATCTCTACCCAGTGGTGAAAAAGAGGGCCTTTTCCTCTAACCCATCAGCCACTGTATGTGTCCTGAGCTCTTGCCACCGACCTTGAGGGTCAGGCCTTTGAAATTTCAAAGTGAATACTGGGCTTCTGTTGTGTCGCCCGTCCCCTGTGGCAATGGACACTACAAGTCTGCTGACCAGTGGGCAGAGAGTAGGTTAGTATTTCTAAAATATTATCCCACCCCATTTACCTGACACAGCAACAGAGGGGACACATCTGTGTTCAGACAGCAAATGAAGGCATTTTCTCACAGACACTCAGCGTCTTTCCGATTTTGCCATAACCCATGGGCCAGTGCTGGCTCTCTGCTGTTCCTACCTGGCAAGGTCCCAAGTCTTGAGCTCAAGTGGAGGATGGAGTGGGGGTACTCTCTGGGCACGTCTCCAGTGACAGTATCCTTGGGGGGCCCGGGGCAGGCTGCCCCCAGCTGTGAGTGGCTCCAGGGAACATGCAGCGGGATCCGTTTTCTGAGGCAGAGCCTGGGTTATACTGCATTTGCAGAACTTCAGAGGTCATAACTCGGTCTTTAGGAGGAAAGGGCAGACTTGGTGAGGCACCTTTGAGAGTTAATCGGTCTCTACCCTCCTGCGGCTGCTATTCTTAGGACCCAGCAGTTTCCCCCCTTAGGCCCTTCTGTAAGGAACCATGTCACCTCCCTGCCTCAGACCTCCACCTCTGATCACAGCTCCACACCCAGCTCCTGACCAGCCCTCTCACATCATGGCTGCTACAAGAAAGGCAAAGGTTTCCATGGGAACTGCAGCTCTTGTGCCTGGCTTGGAATAAAAGTGAGACCTCTATCGCCTCTGTTCATACATGAACCTGGGGCCGCCCGAGTTTTCCAGGAGCCATTGCCTTCCTGTCCCAAACTCTTCCCCTAACCTCAGAGGCCCCTGTGAGATTCTGTAGCCTGCCAGCCAGACTCCCATAGACTCCCCTCTTTACCCTGTCTCCCCGCTCACACCGTCTCACTGGTTCTCAACCTTGGATGTGTGACAGGATCACCTGGGAAGCTTTATAAAATGCATATTCCAGGGTCCCATTCCTAGAGATACTAATCCTGATGGGGGGGTGGGACTTAGGCCACTGTTCATTCGCTGTAGAAACTAGAGGCTTATGATTAATAACATGTAATGAGCATGATGGTGTGCTGCTGAGAAATAAAGATGCTTCATTTTCATAATTAGTAAAATCATTTTATTGAGTCTATCTTATTTATTATGATAATTTACAAGAAGTGCTGGCTGAGTAGTGGCATCATAAAGAAGATAAACTATTTGTTAGCATCCTCACTGCCCTTCTTCTAAACATCCTTACATGCAGAATTCAGTAGTCTCATGTATGCCCATTCCATCATGACAAGTGTCTTCATGTGGTTACCATGCATATTAAAACTGGAATCATAAATAATAACCTGGAAACAAACTCATATTACCAAGACAAAATACACTCAGAGCTAAAACTTCTATAGAACATGAGCATGTCAGAAAGCATTGGACACTCTTATTTTATTCCTGGTAGTGCTGCATAGTTGTTCAAAAAGATGAGGTATTTTCTTCAAGTCTTACTCAAAAATATGGATCCTGATTTGGCCAATGAATTCAAATTAGGTGCAATAGGTAGTGAGATGTGCACATTCTTTTCAGTTAAATGTTTTAATATCTACTGTCTTGCCAGTGGGTTTCAGCCCCAGGCAAGTTCACTATGGATTCAATGTGACCAAAGAAATGACAGCAGAACGTTCTTGGGGTGAAAGGGTTATACCCAACTTTATTTCCACAGTGGCAGGTCAGTCACTAGAATCCCATTCACTCAGAGTGAGTCTGCATGCAGCAAGCTTGTCTCTGCCTCTGGGCTTCTCTGCCCACACAGCAGTCCTCTGGGCCTCTGTCCTCAGCGATGCCTTGACTCCAACCTCTGCTCTCCTGCAGCCTTATAGCCGTGCCACCCTGTCAGTCACCCAGAGCACTGGGCAGAGCTCTTTATGTAGAGTCAATAGCAACGTATTGCCCACATGTGTGTAGTGAGCTAGCCAACCAGGGCCAGGTGAGAATCCTGGCCACAGGAATTTTCATATTATCCACACTACTCCTCTGTAATTCTCCTAAATCCCACTGTTCCTCTTTTCTTATAGAATCAGGGTGAGTTGTCACTGTGACGTCCCTTCACTGTGACTTTTGGGGGCATCCCAGAGTCCCTGATACCTCAAACCCTGGAAGTGTGCTGTCACTGGCCATTGGAGGGATTTCTGCCAACTCTCAAAACAGGGCTGGTGCTTTTTGCCCTCCAGAGAGAAAGGTGCAAGGGAGAGAGTCCACGCTATTCCATCACACCCATCCTATAGCTACCCTATGTGTCTGAATGAATCACAGAGGAAGTAAGTTACATTAGATCAGTCTTGTCCAGGCCTTGCGATGGAATATAAACTGACAGAGGCCATTGTCAACTCCCAAGAGAAGCAAAAGAACTTCATATATCCTTATGGCTTACGCATTTTTCTGTAGGTATATTTCCTAAAAAACTTTTAAAAATTTGGAAAAAAAAAAGAACCTTGAGTATAAAACCTCTTTGGCCATGCTGTTTTGTTGTTCTCTATTTGGGGCAGGAGCCTTTGATTCTCTTCTCCTAGGGCTGTGTCTGTGGGCTTTTCAGTAGCAGCCTCTCTGGGCAAGTTTTCATAGTTGCGTTAATAGCTCTTTGGCTCTTAAATCTTGTAAAACAAAACATTCACTTGTCACTGATGGCAAAAGTTTTCGGGGGGGGCCTCTGAAACTGTGGCTACCACCATCAAAATGTGAGGAAATATATAGCCAGCTTTCCAATGAATCTTCACAAAGACATGATTATGCCATTAATCTGCTTAGCTCTTATTTTGGTTGTGCATTTGATTTCCAACTGGCCTTCAGATTTTAGGCACAAGCGGCAGGGCACTGTTGTCTCAGAATCTCCTGTGGTGCCTCTGGTTATTACTTACATTGGCAGCTGTTTTTATAATAATCTTACCAAACTGACCTTCATAGATTTGTTCTCAATTGAGATATAATTCACATACCATTAAATTTGCTCTTTCAAAGTGTACAATTCAGTGGTATTTAGTATACTTTCAAAGTTGTGCAACCATCACCACTACCTGATTCCAGAACACATTCATCATCCCAAAGCAACTCCATATCCACTAACTCCCTTCTCCTCTGGCCCCTCACAACCACTAATCTACTTTCTGTCTCTATGGATTTACCTATTCTGGATGTTTCATGTCTGTGGATCAAACCAGGTGTGGTCTTTTGTGTCTGATTTCCTTCATTAGCATAAAGTTTTCAAGGTTCATCCTTGGTGTAGCATGAATCAGTAGTATTCCTTTTTTATGGCAGAATAATATTCTATCATGTAGATATACAGATCTTCATAGATTTTGATGTGAGATTAGCCTATAAATTCCTTAACTAAGCTGCAGACCATGAATGCTGACATTCTTGGACAACTGCTACAAAACTCCAGTCCCAGCCACATTGCACATACTTCCCTTCACCCAAGCACCAGCACAGAGGCATTAGCATGGCTTGGGCAGCCCAGCCCCAGTGATCTGAAGGAGCAGCACACTGGGAAAGGCAGAAGTCAGCTCTGATTGACTTGGTGACAGATATTCTGGCATCCCCCAAACTCAGCCCTCACACTCTGCATTTATAAGGAACACTCACAGGTGAACCTCTGCACAGATGGTGTCAAGAGCAATGCCCTTGTATTAGGGAATTCCTCCCAATTCTCTCCAGGCTTCTCTTCTCAGTGTGGCAAGCTCCACACCCTCCCCTCTTGTCCTCTCCCTTTGTCCTACTCCAGTCTCTTTGCCTTCAACAGATATTAATTAATCACCTCCTAAGGGCTAGACACAGAGTTAGACACTGGGATCCAAACTGAAAGAAGCTTGCTTGTGCCCTCCAGGGTCTTCACAGCTGGTTGGAGAGAACATGCAGTGCTCAGTTCCTTGAGGGGTGGGTGGGGAGTGGGGAGAGCACGAGAGGAGGTGGCCCAGACAAGTGAGGAAAGGCTTTGAAGAAGCAGTGATATTTGAGCTCCTAAGCAGCGACACTGAGTTCTAAGGAAGTTCACCACAGTAGAGATGAACAGGGTGTTCCAAGGAGAGAGGACATTAAGAACAAAGTGTTGAAGCCAGAAAGAGACATAACGTGCTCAGAGAAATACAGAGAATTATAGGGCAAGGGTGGGGGGCTGGTGAGGGAGGTGGCAGGTGAAGGGCAGGGTGCCAGAACACGAGTCTTCTAAGTCACAGTGCCCAGAGAGTCAGACTGCAGCTCCTGATCTGGTGGGGCTTCAGCCAACCCCAGGTGAAGCTAAGGCCCCTCTGTGAGCTCTGGCAGAGTGCACGATGCTCTCAGTTTCCATGGCTCTGCCTCTCACCGAGTGGTAAAGGGTTCCCCAAACACAGAAAGGGCTTCAGATGCTGGGCCATCAGAAAGAATAACAAAGGTCTCCAATTGTCAATTAAAGTCATTTTATTCTGTATTTTCCCCAAGGATAGCAATATGACATGGGGGAGGACTTTTATCTGAGAGGGAGATGCTCACAGTGATAAAAGTGGCAAAAGCTCAGGGCTCTGAGGGAAGTACACTGAGTTTCTCCAGCCTCTGATGCCTGGGAGCTCCCTTCTCTCCCTTCTCGCCTGAGACACAGCAGTGGCCAGGAATGACCGTGCCAAGGAGGAAGAGAAGGTGGCTGCCCTGGCAAGGTGAGGGCTCAATTCAGTACTATCTCTGCAGGAAACGCAGGCCCACCTTCTTGTCAGGAACCAGGATGATGCGGGCCAAGCTCCTCACCTCCCCTGTCTCAGGAGCCAGCACCATCTTGTACTGCTGGACCAGCTGAGAGGTAAATTGTACATGGGGCAGGGGCGGTTAGAATCCCGGTTAGAATCCATGCTCTCATCTGGTACCTCCTCTGCACGCTCCCACCCTGTGCCTCCCTTCCTTCAGCCCTTCCTGGCCCACATACCTGCCCTGTCCCCACTCACCCTGAATAGCAACAGCTGCATCTCCAGCTCTGCAATCCTGCGGCCCAGGCAACCTCGGACCCCATAGCCGAAGGGCACAGAGCCAAATGGGTGTTGGGACCTAAGGTTATCAGACTGGCTATTCCTCAGCCAGCGGTGGGGCTGGAAGCTCTCTGGCTCAGAGAAGGTGCTAGGGTCTCGGGATACCACATAGTGGCACAATACAAACAGGGTCTGCAGAGGAAGAATGCAGAGCATCAGGCTAGGGCTTCGGGGCACCCCTGGGGACCACCGCTCTCTAGGCCCACTCACATTCTTGGGGAAGAGGAAGCCACCAACTTCAATTTCCTTTTCCATAATGACCCGAGAGTTCATAGGGACTACAGGGTAGAGGCTGCAGGGAAAAGACAATGCAGGTCTGCCTCTCTGGTGCCTCAGGCCCCTCTTTCAACCTCACCCTGGCCCTAGCCCCAGCCTGACAGCCCCTACTTACCACTCCTATCTCAGAGTCTCCCCAACACAAACCCTGAAACCTACCGCAGGGTCTCTTTAAGCACAGCTTTGAGCAGGGGCATGTGCGCAAAGTCCTTGTGTCCAGGCACCTGCCCGGCTGGCACCACACCCACCACTTCCTCATGCAAGGCCTCTTGGATCTCTGGATTCTTTGAAAGATGGTACAAAGTCCACGTCAACGTGTTGGACGTCTGAGAGGAAGAGTGAGAGATGAAGTGAGATGGGATTTCAAGCAAAGAAGCCAGTCAGGTGTTTCTTTGTATGAGTGGGTGTATGCAAAATGTGGGAGAAAACTTAAGTTGTCACGAGTGCGGCCAAATAAGACACAGGGGTTCATGGGACCCTCCATGCTAACATGACTCCATAGTGGTACCAGGACCATATGATGGAGAATCACACTCTACGACAGAGGAGACTAACAGAGAAGCCCAGTGTGACTAAAGGGCTGGAAAGAGGTCCCACAAAGAAAGGGGCTTGTGAACCAACTCTTCAACTCTCCACTTAAATGACAGCACAAGATGAAATTTTCAGTTGTCTGAGAGAGGCTCACAGAGGTGATGGAATCTGCCAAACAAAAGGACCCTTCCCTGCCCACCTCCCCTGCACTGAATGGCCCTGTTTTCCTTCTAGTTCTACATCCATGCTACAGAAAGAGAAGGAGGGATGAAGGTAGGCTCAAGTGGAGGATAATGGGGAATTGGTTCAGGATTGGGGCTGAGAGCCCCTGGTCTCCTCACCAGCCCCCATCACACACCGTGTCTACCCCAGCCAGGAGCAGCTCAGGCAGGCTGCCCATGACCTCATGATAACTGAGCTGTCCTCTGGTCAGCAGGGAGTGCAGGTAGCCAGATATCTGGGTCTCATTTGGCCCCTCTGCCTGCAGTTGGGTCTCTATCTCCTTGAGTTTCTGATCAATCATCTTCTTCCCTACAAGGACAGTGGAGAAAGGAGAAATCCAAAGTCAAAAGTCATGATATCCAAAGACCAAGAGCCACTCGACAGCACATAGCATGAGGGATGTCTGCACACACTGCTGGTGTGCAGACCCTGGGACCCATCCCCCACCTTCCTTCCCAGGACTCCTCACCAAAAGAGAAGATGGTGTTCCAGCCATCCAGGTAACGCCTCCAGAAGGGCAGCAGGGGACGGGTCCACTTGGGGAGGAAGGTG